AGACAACATCTCTCCTATTGATTAATTCTGGCCGCTTCCTCTCAATTGCTTGTTGTAATCTCTGCAATTGTTCACAGTAGAGTTCGGAATTAATGTTTGATTGGACGATAACAGCTCATAGTGAACTCCAGTCCCACCATATACACATCATCTTCTTCCTCGTCAATCCAGATTTTGCGATTGCTTGCGCCTTCTCTCCTTTCTTTATCCATGATCTTTTTCTAGTTGGATTGTCATAGGTGATCCATTTTTCATCACCAGCATTCTCTTCAGAAATGGCTCAATTTCATTCCGTTTCAGTAGCGTATCATAAATGTTAATTCGGTCCATGTTCCTAACACTCGACTCGTGAAGAATCCAAACATCGAGCTTCTTTTTGAATCCAACTTTGTGTCAATGATTTAAAACTGTTTTGTGGTTGATGCCTAGTTCCCTGGTAATTTCCATAGTGCTCACATGCTTATCACGCTCGACTTTTACCATGATCGGACTTTTTACTAATTGGTCGACCGGAGCGAGGTTCATCTTTCACATCGAAATTTCCAGTACGAAAGCGAGCGAACCATTTCCGTGCTGCTGATTTTGATAGAGTATCTTCACCGTAAATAGCGCAAATTTTTTCACAAGCCTGTGCAGCATTCTTGCCTTCATCGTAGTGATACTGCAAAATGTAGCGAATTTTTTCCTTATTTATTTCCATTTTCAAAATAAAATAACTTTTGATCCACTTCACCGATTTCAATCTTTTTCGGCTCAAAACAAAGGTTAAAATGTCACTTTTTAAACGCACGTCTAATGTTGACGATGCGATTAGTAGTTGCCGACTGCTGAGCATTTAATGCCATCTAACGAGAAAAACGCCACGAACTTTTTCCCGATATATCTCTACGTTTAATCATACACTAACGTCCTCTCACGGTAACCATTTCAACTTCAACACGAAATAACAATGAGAAGGGGAAGGCTTGAATGATAAATGAATAGACCAATCACGATCGCCATCACTATGGGAATAGGAATTTTCGAGGATGCTAAATCATGATTGGTCGGTTCCGTTTAATGACAAGTGTTTCGTTACTGTCCTTTTTTTTTTTACACGTTAAGGTGCTCTTGAGAGATTCTCGATTTTCCTCTTACTCGCAAAGCAGATAAGCTTAACGCTCGGAATATCTTTGCACCGCACACGCAAAATCACCTTTATTTTCCGGTCGATGCTTCTCGCCTTTTTTTCGCCAGGAGTTCAACGATTTTAGAATTACCGCGGAGTGATAAAAGTGACGTTTCCTTTTGTTTTGATCTTCCACGTCTCGTGTTAATCAGCTGATTTTTCGAAAGATTGTATTGGATAGAGCATAATGCTCTAAGTGTTAACTTTTGAAATTAGTCAAGTTGAATCTTTGGAAAAAAATGAATTTCTCAGAGAAAGGACTGGATAGTCTACTCAAGGAAGAATGGATATCGAAACTGGAAGAGAACACCTACATACAAAAAATGTCAATGAACAATATGATCATGAATTATCTAGTCACAGGTAATGAATTCTAGAATCTATTGTAATCTGAATGAATTGTCGAGGTAATAAATATTTCGATGATTAGAAGGATTCAAGGAAGCTGCTGAGAAATTCCAACAGGAATCGGGAGTAGGTCCGACGGTGGAACTGAGCTCTCTCGATGACAGAATCCGTATTCGAGACGCCATACAGAATGGTCATATCCAAGAAGCAACAGACTTGGTGAATCAGCTGCATCCTGAATTGTTGGACAACGACAGATATCTTTACTTTCACCTGCAACAGTTGCACTTGATTGAATTGATACGTACAGGCAGAGTCGAGGAGGCACTTCAGTTCGCTCAGGATCAACTCAGCGAAGCTGGCGAGTCAGATGATAATATATTGTGCGAGTTGGAACGTACATTGGCACTATTGGCTTTTGATGAACCACATAAGAGCCCGTTCAGTGACCTTCTACATCCCACACACAGACAGAAAGTGAGTATTACCATGGGGCCATGGCATACAGAAAAACTTGAACAATAAGACATAAATAAAGGATTGTTTTCAAAAGATATAATATGATGCGGTAAGTCTCTTAAGGAATTGATCAATCACAGTTAAATATAAGGAGAATAATTGACTATGAATTTCTTACAGTTTATGGCTTACTGCATAATAGGCCTGTTCTTTTTAGCTAAATTTCTTGCATGGTTCACCTTTTCTCTTTTCCTTTCTAACATGGAGAGAAACAGATGTATCATGCAAGAACTTTAGAAGAGTTAAAAAGAACAGACCTAATATTATTTCTATTGTAGATGATCCATAAAGAAATCAACATGTTGGATTCGTTACTGCTTAGATTATAGCCTTATAGTTTCTCTGTGATATGCTTACTGCTTACGTTCTACAATAAGCCTCGTTTTTTGCTAACTTGATCTTGTTATTTTCTGATTGTTGTGCCATTATAGATTGCAAGCGAATTGAATGCTGCTATATTGAAAATGGAACATAGAGAATCTACCAGTCCTCGTCTCAATAATCTGTTGAAGATGATACTATGGGCTCAAGAGGAATTAGACAAGAAAAAAGTAAAATATCCCAAGATGACTGATCTAGGTAGTGCCACAATTGAAGATACAAAATAATTTTATAGTAGACAGACTGAGAGCGGTTCTCAGCTATATTTATAAATACGATAAATGAATGTCTTGAATTGACCTTTAAATGTAATTTTGTGTAAATTGCTATATTCATTTTGTAGAAAAGTATATTCGAATTTTAATCTTGTATAACAAATTAGAGAGAAAGATGATGTGTAGAATCATTAATCTGTTATAATAAGAATGTAATGATTAAATTGATACATCGTTGTTACAATCACTGTAAGTGTAAGAGATAAGAATGCTTATTGCGATTATTTTTTGTCTTTCGGAATGTAATGTTAACATAACAGGTAGAGGTATTTTCAGACTTCGTGTACATGCAATATTTACTAGGAATAGACACGTAATATCACGCGCAAATTAAGATTTGCATATGACTCCGGCTATTAGCCTATACAAGATAGTATAATTGTAAAGATACAAATATAACATGTGATAATATGCATATTACAATAGTCTTAAAAAAGTAACAGCCTTCACAGAGACGCTCTTATAATAATGATTTTCAAAGTTATAGAAAAATTTATTTTTAGGATAATAGATAATAATTTCGTTTAATCTTTAAGTTAATGTTCCGCTTAAAAGTTTCCTTCCAAAAGATTAATATATTATTTATCATAGTTTCCTTTCTACAATTTTTAATATATTTTCAATATAAAAAGTTCAATGTATAATTATTACTAAAAAAAAAAAACAACTACCAACCGAACACATATTCCATTGCTTTTGAAACTAAACTGGCCGACTTCTGTGGAACATTTTCCGGCATCTGCGCGGCTTGTGGGCTAAAATGTTGATTATAACCCGCTGCTAAAGATCTCAGTTTTCGTCGTCTCGCGGTAGGTGACGAGTTAAAGGGGGATTGACTGATTCTGCCCATTGAAAGCGATCTCATGCTTCCATTTAGCTTGGCACGATTTTCCTTGTCACAACCCAAAACGACGCCCTCATCCGTACATGGTATGACACCAATCATAATTGTGCCCGAAACAATACTACCATTGCACATGAGAGCCTTTTGCGCTTCCTGTTCTGACGCACACTTTAAATGTATCCAGTTGCTTTGGGGTTGTGGAGCTGGATGTTTATCCACTATACGAACTCTGCTGGAGATGTGAGACAGAACGGCATTGACATCGATGGGTAAGAAACCGAAAACTGTTACCCATTGCAGTAGACTTTGCGATTCGCTTGTGCTCAAATTGAACGAACTATCTGGAAATATCAGTGGACTAGTTAAAGTACTCATCATGAGTTTGGACTGATTTATAGGTGTGGCTGTGATAGCTGGATTTGTGACTGCCATAGATGGTGATATGTGCGTGACTTCCAGAGTGTCGAATAGTCCTCGCGTTGGCGGTCCTCCGGTATGATTTTTTGTGCTTATTTGTGGTGTGCTAGGAGTTGTAGATCCAAACACTGCCTTCTGACGATTAGATCGGTAATCCGGAGAACCATAGGAAACTGGTGACATCACACTGGTATTGGTTAGGTTCAAATGGCGTGGATTATCTTGAGGACTTATTATGTTGATCTTTGCGGGCTGAAATTTTTAAAGAGAGATGTTAGCAGTGCAGATTGTATTTTTCAAATTAATAATAAAATATACTTCTCACAGTATTAGTGTCACCCAAGAGAAAACTTGGCAAATACGAGGAAGAATTTCCTGGACTACCAGGACTTTGGACAGGACTATTCATCGGTGATCCTAGAGTCATAGGCTCCATCTAATAGAATGATTAATTTTCTAAGACTTGATTAATATAACAAAAAGATTTTCTTCTATTCTAAAAAATTAACATAAAGTAAATATTATTTTATATAGAAGTTTAAAAAATTTTTTTAGATTATTTTTAGATTGGCACTAATATTTTTAACGAGACAAGCTTGAAATATTCTAATAATTCTAATCATATATATATATTTGAATTATTTAAAAAAATGTCTCCAAAGTGACAAGACAATTAATTTTATAAAATAATATTTGGGAAAATAATATGGGAATAATATTAACAAAACTCTATTCTATTTTTTTAAAAATTAATACAAAATAATTATTTTTTACAGAACGGAGAATTTTTTTAAACTTTTTAGGTTATTTTTAGATAGGCACTAATATTTTAAATAATTAATTAAACCAGCTTGAAACATTTCAGTCATATTATATTTGGATTACTTACGACCTCAAAAAATGTTTTGTCTTCGAAGTAACTTCCTAAGTGCTATGATAAATAATAATATCAGTTTTTCGGGAGAAAAGACGTTTTCGTTTTTATCTACGTAAAGAGGGCTCTGGAAGTCAGCTGGAAAACGGACGGGCGGGCGCGCGCGGAGCCGAACGGCGAACCCCCAACTGCCCCCAATCTCGATGGATCCTTGATGACGCCATGATCTACGTCGCCGTGTCGCACAGCCGCGGAACGTATAGGCGCGGATCCAGCCAGCCAGGCCCCCTTTTTTAATCATGAGTATCATCGGCCGCGGGTCCTTCCTCCGGACGTGAACGCATCAACGACCGCCGTCTAATCCGGTAATCGCTCGCATCCCGTAACGTCCGTCCGTCCGCGCGGATCGCGCTCTTGACGTCGCGTAGAGAACAGCGGTAAAGATAAAAAGCGGCTGCCGAGGTGTGTGCCCGCGTGAAGAGGAACACGGCCCTCTTCTCAGTTCTCTTCCGCACGCGCGTACGCGTGTGAGCTCACCGTGAGAAAAGTCTAATCCGTGGACCCGAGGGATTCATCAGCGGGGGTCCGCACCGGTCGCCCGCGTGACCCCCCTGGGGGGAGGGCTCCGTTGACTCCTGGATCATCTTCTCTACCTGCGCTCCGAATACGGAAACGGGCGATCCCTCCTCCCTCCCCCGGCTCTCCCCCACCCCCCAGCGAATGACACATCTCGGTGGAACGAACCGAAATCGTAAACCGTAAATAATAGCCGTCAAATTAGAGATAGATTTCATAGATGTATATCTGTCGTATCGCGATATGTTTGCACTTTCCCGTTGACGAATCTGTATTTTATATTTGTCCCTCTTTCTCTTTCCTGTATTAAAGTGAAATCAGTGTTACATTTTTGGTTGTTTTTTGCAGGAGGATAGCAAGAATGTCTGTGCCACCACCGCCACCGCCTCCGCAGGCTGGCGCTTCTGCTGGCCCGCTAATGGGCGATAACAGAGGTTTATTACTACAGTCTATAAGGGCAGGCAAAACTCTGAAGAAGACTGTTACCGTGGATAAGAGCGCACCTGCAATCTCTGGTAAATTATTGGAATTAAATGATATACTAATAAATTATATACTAGATTATATACTACACTAAAGACTTCATAACTTCATAGAATAGCATTCATAATCGATTCTTATATTTAAGACTGTTTTAAGTGCAGTCTTCTGATCATAAGCTAATCAGAAGACTGTATTATCTTAAGACACTTAAGCTGCTAATTTTAAGACTATCTTAAATAATGTCTTAAGATGCTAATATAGCTCTCTGAATGATATTCATTGTCAATTCTTATTGTAAGATTATCTTAAGTAATGTTTTAAGATAGTTTAAGAGGTTAATACAATTTTGTGGCCAACATCCATAGTTTATTTCAAGTCTTAAGTAATAAAAGTCATGTCTCTAAAGATGTTTCTATGCATTCTATGATTGATTGATTTGAAACTATTCAAGACAGTCTTAAATATAAAAATCAACTATAAATATCAGCTTGAGCAAGAATAGATAGACAATGGTTGACTATTGTGTCATTTATGGAAAGTCCCTGACAATACATGTAATTCCACATACAATATAATTTTAATTGTTTTTCATATATATGACACAAGAATTTGCTCAAACTTATCTATCACTTACTCGCATCTTGAGTTTTCCAGTAAAAGATACAGTAAAATTAATAATTGTTGTTTGTCAGTGTTATAATAAAGATGAAATGATTCACTGCTTTCCTTTTAAGAGACACAGTTGATGTAAGCATCATTTTATTTGTTATTCATTGAATACCAAAGAAGGATTCATTGAATATTAAGAAGGATAGCTTAATTGATGTTTGATGATGTCGACTATGTTTCCAAAAGGAAAGCAGCCAGAGTAACGCAGCAAATTATTTCATCTTCATTTAATATTGACAAACAACAAGGATATTTCACTGTGTTATATTACATAGTGTCGTCTATTTCTTGATAAAAAGCACCTTAGATCTGCATACAAATATTAAATTCAAAAGCAAAAATAGATAAAGCGATTGTTGTGAAAAGTCAGGAACTATAATGAGAAACATTTGTTTCGCAGGGAGAATAAAAGGCGAATCATCGAGCTCCTCGTTAAGCAATAACAATAGTAGAACTAATAGTTCTAATGTAATCAGCAGCAGCAGTTCTAATTCTAATGGTGGGCCCATGTCACTTGGCGGTTTATTCGCGGGTGGTATGCCAAAATTAAAACCTACAGGACTGAGAGGACACATGACCGAGAAAGAGAGACAAAATGTAAATAATTCTAGTTTTCTTCACTCGTCATCCGGGTCGTCCCACAATGTAAAACGTGGCCCACCACCAGTTCCGCCACCAGCCGCGCAGAAACCACAGTTATTCAATCAGGTAGAAAACGACCTGCTTAATTGGTCCTCACATATATCGTGCATATATCTTTAAAAATGTTTAATCTCATACAGGGACAAAGCAGCACCGATTCTGCGATGAGCACTCCGGAGGTCACGCCCAGAGGATTCGGGAAATCAACCATTGTGCCTAAACTGGCGTCGTCTGCCACCTTGCACAAACCGTCGCCGCCGCCTAAAAAGCTGAATTTAACGAGTAGCGCAAGCGTGGCGAGAGCACAAAGCATGCGATTACCGCGATCGCCACCGGTCCTGGTGCCAACAACACCTTCTCTGCACCAGTCACAGGATTGTTTAAATGAAGCCACCACGCCACAACCCACGAGACCCGCGAATCGAATTCTCAGGCCTCCCGTGACGAGGCCACCGTCACCGCCGATCTCGCGAGCGATCGTGCCTATGACGAGACCACCGTCGCCGCCAGCACCACCAGCCTCGCGGTCGCACACATTGCCCGTGACAGCCATGAGAGCGGCGCCGCCGCCACCATCGAGGATCACGGTGACCGCGCCATGTATACCGCCACCACCACCACCGCTTCCTCATCGTCCCGCACTCACGCATCAGAGATTGGCACCGCCGCCGCCACCGCCACCGACGCCTCCTACTAGAAGTCTGTCGGTTCGCAATGGCAGCGCTCAAGCTTCTGTCGATCTGGAAACACGATTTGCTGATATGTTTCATACCGTGTCGAGTTTTCCGCCGCCGGAACCCTTCAGGGGCTTCATCAAGGTTTATAGTAGCAGGAATGGTAAGAATACTCGGCCCAAAATATTCTTTGACTTATTTCGATAGCACTTGACGCTTGAGATAATGATGAAAGTTTTATACATTTTTCTTTTAGTTATAAAACTAAACAAACGGTGCTTTCTACGCCCATCCATATCCGTATCCTTTAATCGTATCCTGAATAAGTGCATGTTGCCAAAATTTATTACTACAATCCCTCGCGGGATGCATATATAACTCATACGCATATTTTAATAAATATACAAAATGATGCATCATACACGACACATTGTTTGTTTATGATATTGTTTTTCAAGGTTTCTTTTAAAGCATTAACTTCCGTTGACGCTGCTTCTCTATCTCCAGAACAATATAAACATGAAGACACTAAACGCGTATGACACAAACAGCTCATATTTGTTTATAATCAGGCATGAATATATATATATATATATAAATTAAATTGCATACTGCTAATTGCACTTTTATGGATATTCAAAATGGAATTTATAAATTTGTATATTTCATTCGAAAAGTAATCATAATATTTCAAAAATTACAGCAGCAAAACAACAAGCACCAGCTCCTCCACTTCAATCGTCTTCTACTCCTAGCACACTGCATTCGTTAAATACTTCGTCTGGGAGTAAACAGTGGCAACACAATGCGACTTCTTTGGCATATTAAAATCTGTGCATACTTAAATCATTGCTTCGTGCATTGATTATTGTTTAAACACTTCTTGATGCTGCCACAATAAAATAAAATATTAAGTGAGCGTGAAAAGGAATGAATCGGCAGAGTAAAAAGTTTGAGAGAAAGAGATTCCGAATTCGCGAACCCAGTTATACAATAAAACGTTTTTAGACAATATTTTCTGTACAGTTTATCTTAGAAGAAAGAATATATTTAATATAGATT